TGCAAAAATCAAGCTGAAAGTTGACTCGACACAAAAATGTTTCCATTGCACATCGTTTTTTAGAAAGAGAAAGCATAGTTTGCTATCTCTTTTTAATCTTCACCGATGGCAGACGCGAAGGGACTGCTTCAAGCCGTTATGAAAGTTTCGGTTGCATTTGGGTGTAAAGCTGGGTTTAGACTAGGCAAGTCAAATGATCAACTCAGTTGAATTCAATCGGCTTGAAAACTTGAGCCTGGTTCAACTTTTTTCAATTCAAGTGAGTTGATCAAGTCAGTTGAATGGCATGGTTTACACGTTCAATTCACATTCAAGTCAGTTGAATTCAACTGACTTGATCAATTGACTTGTCCTGTCTAAACCCAGCTTAAAGCAAAAATCATTAAACTCAATCTCACCACAGTTTGGGGAGATTTGCAGTTGATGAGTTTTGTTAGCTTGATATTCCGAGCTGCGATATCACAGCTTGCAAAATCAACCGCAGTAGTTTGCTTGTTGATTTTCGTCTACGAAAATCAAGCGTGATCTTTGGCGTTGGTGAGATTTGATTTTTTGATATTTTCCCAACACTGATCACTATACACTATCAATATAGTAGTTCATCTGCCTCCGCCATGGCAGGACGGTAAAAAACACTGTCTTTTATTTATACATCCGTAAACACAACGTACGAAAAGTTCTGCTCGTGAGCGATCATACTATGAGTGCTTCTTATTTATTAGCTTTTAGTCTATGCATATTCCGAAGCATAGAGAGAGTGCTGGAAAAAGCACAGTTCTGATAACTGCAAGGTTAGTGGTTCGAGACCCAGTCTTTTTTGGCATCCCAACAAACAATCGTCTATTGAAGAAACGACTTGTTGGCCATTTTATTCAACTGCATGCTTGATAGTACTTGTACTATTTTTAATAATAACTTCTGAACTTTGTTCACACAAATCTGGAGAATTTATTCAACCACAACATTGATCTACTTGGTGTTGTTTAAGGTATGTCGATAAGCTTTTATTCGACTTATATGAGTGGTAACAGAGCTTTTATTCGATAACATTTTTGATTATTCAGCGTTTCTTAGACAGCACTGCTTCCTTAAAACAGTGATGCTTTGTATACGCTTGATTCTCAAGTGAAGTAACGTTAAATTAGACATTAATATACATTTATACATTTATTAAACGATTTATCAACTGTGGGAAAATTAACCCGAAAATAAGACGGGGGAGGGGGGCAGGGAAGTGTGTGTTTCTTAAGTGTATTGACGTGGCTGGCACCACACAGATATTAGAAAATTTATTAATTACTTATACATGTCGTTTTACATGGGATTCGAACCATGTACCTTCCGATCACCAGTCGCTTGCCTTGTCATCTGAGCTATCCTAGAATGCATCATATGTGCAACTCAATAATCAATAAAAGCTTGCATGAAAGTAAATACCTATCAGCACTCCCGATCGCAACTCTAGCTCCTTAAAGGCCCTGTGGGAATGATTAATTCATTCATCGTTGTTTTAAATGAGACTAATGTTGCCTCTTCACATCTTCAAGTCGAAAGAAAAGATGCTCGGTTATATTTTAAACTAGATTAATGCGTTCATTATCGTGAGTCATGTGATCGATGATTACTATTTAAATTAATTATGTTCTACGCAAATAAAAAAAGGGTTGAGCTTAGGATTAAACTCACGACCTTCTAATTGGAAAGCGGAAACGATAACCACTACTCTACTGATTTCGCCTTGTTGTAAGACTGAATCAGTGTTGTCGAATAATGAATCTAATACGTCGTGCTACATGGACGCATAGTGGTATAAGAGCTATTATGCTGACTGTATCGACCTTTATTCCGCAATATTGTAAAGCAATGCAATGAAATCTAATAATGGAGCTAGAGAACATTTATTAGACGTCTAATAGAGCATGTTATCAAATCAATTGAAAACAGTCGAATTAAAGTGTCAATGTATGTACAAATTACACTTATTCAGTTTGTTATTAGACCGAACTTCTGGCGTTGAATTGGGAAGACATTTAACACTTTTACAGCTTTTAATAAGTTAAATAATAAGATCAGAGCAAACAGTTGAATAAATGTGCATCTATCGATCTCAATGAGCTTTTTCTGCACATAATTCGACAACTCTTTTTATTCAGCATTGTACACTGTTATACAGCATTTATTCAATATATATGCTTATTTGCTACTTTGAGTTTTAAAGTGTTTTTATGTTACTTCATACGCGAAGTTAACGATTTTCAGAGTTGGTTGGAAAATGCTAACATGAAGCTTGAGTGTGATGATTTATTAGCTAGAGAATGATCTTTAGAAGAGGGTAGGTGGATAGTTCCGTTAGAGTACGGCAGTATGAAAATTGAATAGAAGTTGAAAATGAGCGAAGGGCCATTAATGCGACAGTTTTTAAGGATAGACGCACATTTTTGCCTGTGGACTTGGAGACATACTTCAAGTCCCCGCGTACATCGTACGGGTTAGGCAAAAATGTGCGTCTATCTTTCAAAACTGTCGCATTAATGGCCCTTCGCTCATTTTCAACTTCTATTCAATTTTCATACTGCCGTACTCTAACGGAACTATCCACCTACCCTCTTCTAAAGATCATTCTCTAGCTAATAAATCATCACACTAAAGCTTCATGTTAGCATTTTCCAACCAACTCTGAATTGTTTGTTGGGTGGTATAAGAGCTATTTTGCTGAGTGTATTCACCTTTATTCAGCAATATTGTAAAGCAATGCAATGAAATCTAATAATGGAGCTAGAAAACATTTATAAGACGTTTAATACAGCATTTTACTCAAACAATTGAAAACAGTCGAATTAAAGCGACAATGTGCTCAATGAGCTTTTTTCAGCACATACTTCATGTTTTATTCAGCATTGTACACTGTTTTACAGCATTTATTCAATTTGTATGCTTATTTGTGACTTTGAATTGTTTGTTGGGATGATTAATTTCTCTCAATAATGCATTCCACATTTTTCTTCTCCTTTTTCGCATCCTCCGTTCATGCGGTCTTCATTAACATCCTCCGATGACGAATACCACATAATTGTAAGGTAAGCGAATCTTTCATCCCCTGGTTAGGTGTAGACATAAAAAATTTGTTTTTTCAACAAAGTTTCATATTTTGAGTAGCTCTTCATCTTTGCCCAAGAAATCCTTCTATATGTTTAGGTGAAAAGATACACGGAGAAAAAATAGTGCCCAAAATTTGAGTTCATTATTCTTAATTTTGAGTTGAGTCTCTCACTTGCACTCGGTATTGTTGTCAAAAATGGAATAAGAGATTTTACCCAACGATATAGTTCAGCCCAATAAGTTACTTTTGAGTGAATTGCATATCCTCAAATTTACGTGCATTAAACTTAATTGTGGGTAGAATATACTCAAGAGTAAATGGAAAACACTGTATAACTCAAATTTGAGTTATTGGGCTGAACTCGGGAGTTGTGGGAAAAGTATTTGATTTTGGGTAGTTTTTCATCTTCGTGTAGTTTTTTATTTTATATTTTTCATAGTAGACCATGATATATTTTTAAAAATTTTAGGATTTTGGGTGATACTTATGTGAAAAATCCCTTTGAAAGCACTTTTTTGATTAAGTCAGTAGATTATATAGGGGCGACCCCGGCATAGTGGTTAACATCCATACCTCTCACGCCAAAGTCACGAGTTCAAATCTCACCCCCGGACAAGTCACGAATGACCCAAGAGTGTTAAAGTGACTATAAAAAAAAAAAAAAAAAAGTAGATTAGGGGAATTTACGTATTCTCAGCAACCTAAGCAGCGACCTTCTTTCTATAGCCTTTTTCTCTATGGAACGCACACATATGCAGTATTGGTTTGTTTACAATCTTTTGCTGCCAGCTGCTCTAACAATTTCAGTCGAAAGAATTGTCAAAAACTGTTTTGAAACGCTTTTACAAAGCTCCAATCTTCTCTAGTGAGAGCGAGTATTGTCGGCAACCAGTTTTTCTTCGGCAACCGTTCCATTTGAACTGCATGTAAATCTGCTGTTCTATTATCGGCAACTCGAAATCAGCTACAATTTGTAGTGCGTGTGTTTCATTTCAAGAAAACCCTGCTAGATTGCTTTTTCTCAGTAGTAAAAATATAGTCAAATTGAAGCTGAAAGCATAAAGAATCGTTTGCATGCATTCATCGAAGTGTTTTCGTAAGAAAATCCAGTGAAAATAGTGTTTCAATTTAGGTTGCCGAAAATAGTCTGTCGTGCCGAAGCCGTCATTTCCCCTATATAAAATACAGTTGAATTCGCGATGCTCCATCTACTACCACTGTGGAGCAGCATTCCAAAATTTCGTTTTTTTGGCCTTGGACCCCTTGGTGATACTCTAAGGAAGCCTTAGCGTGAAACTTCAAAGGCACAAATGTCAGCTTCCACAAAACATACAAATTTGAAATTGCTACCCTCTGTTTGTAGCAGCACAGCACACACTAAGGCTTCCTTAGAGTATCAGCTTAAGTATCTGTTCGATAAAAAAACTATTTTTTTGCGAACAGTTTTATAACTGATAACATTTAATTTATTGATTTTACATTGCAACATTTTGAGATCTTTAAAATTATTGTTGAAGTATTGAGTTCATATTATATGTATCTTTATTATGGTTAATCTATGGTATTTTCAATCTGGGTGTTCAGTCAGTTTAAACTGATCTTGTTTTTAATTGATTGCGAACCAGAAAATAGTAATAGCAGTGTGCTCTTTTCTTACAATTATGGTCTTTTCAAAAAATTCAATCCGTGTCATTACCTGAGCATCTCCTACCTATGCTATGCTGTATGTGGGACGCGGTGCCACAAATTGAAATGTTGACTGCACACATCACACCCCAAAATGCGTCAACCGATCGCAAAGCTAATCGAATTTTCTCCCACCCATGCACCTAGCCTTTCTGATTGACAGGCTGCGGATGTAACTTCAAAAACAATTATCCACAAACCGTGCATCACTTACCGTGTTTGTCCTTCTCGTGCATCAGCTTCCCATCTGCTAAATTAATAATTAGCACCAGTTTGCAGCATAAAACATTCACGAAACCATTAAATTTCATTTTCAGCTTCTCCAGAGTGTCCTCGTTTCTCCCTTTAGTGTCGGCACGCGTGCGGGGGGTGACAGTTGTGTTGTACAGGGAAGCACAATAGTCTGAACCTTTTATGAAGTTGCAACTGCGGTCGACTGCATTTGATGATGATCTCTATCTCTCACGGATGAATCCAGTAGTTGCAACTTTGTCCCATTCATTTCAGGCTGAAACGGAGGAAAATGTAAACTATGTGTAATGATTTGGTTGGTTTTTAATGGAATGATACATCATTTGGTGTTCTGGGAAAGGCAGTAAGAGTTAAGAGTTATGCTATAAGTTAGAATATCTAATGTTAAAATTGAAATAAGTATGTTTATCTCGTGGGAAATATTAGATACTCTCGATCATATATTTTAGGGAAAAACCTCAATTCCAATGTAATGAACTTTGTAATTGATTCTGAGAGGAAAGATTCCATCAAATGAAGTAGGTACCCAGAATTCGTAGAAGGCCACTGCCGCCAGGTTAATTTTGCTTGACGCCTACATCAATTATTCACGACGCCACAAAAGTTACGTCGTCCTTTTATGCTATGAAAACAAATTGGAGCACCATCATCGCCATCATCGTCATCGACAGCAGCAGCATACCACCATCGTCCATGTCATTATCAATGGAAGCGATGGCAACTATGCACTTCTAATGGCATTTCCTCACAGAGGATAACTCTATCGCCCTTCTGCCATCCGCACTGTAGCCATCAGTAGGTCGGCTTGTCCTTTCCGCAGACAATGTAAGTTCATGAATTGCCAATTGGGTGTTTTTGTGGATAGTAGTAGAACCAGCAGCAGCATATTACATTCACCTATAGCTGGCAGTGATATAAACAGACCGAATAGTGGAAGTCCTTTATTCAAAACACATTGCAAACGATAATGATCGGCAACAGCGTGGCGGGGTCGTTTAATATACCCACCACATACCTATCCAGTACGCCAAAGCAAAGGACGCGACCAGATGCGCGGTGACTCGGGAACATTGTCCGCTGCAAACTGTGACTGTAACTACCGGAGTCGTTTCGGAAATGAATGAATCGATTTGGGCGCATTGTGGAACCGTGAACGATGTGAAAGTTATCAATTATTTCAGGCAAATTGTTTCATAATCAACCGGTTGCAGATAGTTCTCTTCGGGGAATTATGGAAACAGTTTAAGGAGCTGTGACGTTAAATGGGAGACTCTGCCATCTGCTTCCAATATGTTTTGATTTTAATTTTTTGTTGAGAAAAGTTTCGATTTCTAGCTTCAAGCAAATTCCATAACTAATCATCCATCATTGAAAACCATGAATGCGAATGGCACTTGTCGTCTGACATTGTTTTGTTTGATCTGTTGCAAGTTAATGCGGAGCTACTCCGTTATCGCCAGATCAGCTGTAATTACACAGTGAGCTAACAGATAATGCTTGGGACTAGCAATCATCCTCAAAGTGTAAAAACTGGTGATCTAAAATTAGGCAATACCAGTGCCGGTCGTGCCAGATCGCAGGTCAAGAAGGGATTGGGTTGTAATATGTTGACGTGATACTCGCTTTGTTGGAATCTTCTGCCCTTGCACAAGAAACCATAACACAGTGGTGTGCAAGCGGTCGTACACAGTTCGAAAAAGTAGTGTAAATTTCTGTTAAATATGATGCCCATAAATGGAGCGTCGTATATCATATAAGTTTACATGTATTTCATGTTATATTCTGACACATTTCATGCAATGTAGCAAATATTGTATTGTAGCCTATCTTTGTAAACAACATCGTTTACAAGTTGCTCGGATAGCAGGCCTGGGTTCAATCCCAGTCAGCGCTGCCGGGATGTTCTGAGGCATAACATCTCTGATCACGCCGAATTTAAGCCGTTGGTCCCCGGTTCATTGGTTGATGGGTCGATAGGTAGGGTCCAGGTGTGGGAGCTGCCTTTCTGGCGGGTACACGACGTTAGGGATACGGTCGTTAGGCATACGGACGTTAGGCATAATGTACGATAGGCATAAAGGACGTTAGGCATAATGGACGTTAGGCATAATCGACGCTAGGCATAATCTACCCGATGAATTCCAGAAGGATGATAATGGGGACCGTCTATTGATTGCTAACTTCGGTGACAATAATGAAAGACCCTTAATTTTTGGAACTCATGAAAACTTGCGACGTCTTGGGCAGGCAAAGTATTGGGCTACAGATGGCACGTTTGCCACAGTTCCTTGTTTGTTTCGGCAACTCGTCATTGTTCATGGAAGTATCGCTCACATCACATCATCAGCAGACGGTTCCGCTAGTTTTCATTCTGATGACAACAAAAACAGAACCGTTGTATCGAAAAGTATAGCAGCAGCTGGTATGTTTTTTTGTTATTGAATGAAAAACCACAGAATTCACCATTCTTCATTTCATGAGCTGTTCTTTTGCATCATATTTTATTCAACCTTAGCTGTTTTTTGTTATTGAATGAAAAATTACAGAATTCACCTTTCTTCATTTCATGAGCTGTTCTTTGAGGAAAATCTTTTCTTCTTTGACAATTGTAATATGTGTGTAAGAATATATTACATCAAATGTGTGATTTTTTTTATTTCTAGATGCGATTGATTTCAAGTTATAGTTCAAAACTATGCTGAGTTTTCATTGCCAGATTACTTAACCGCTATCGCTACTAATCTTGGATCTAAGTAAATATGTAGCTACGTCACTTATGATATGATAAATAATGGATTCCATACTGTGCTTATTAAAGAAACTATGCTTGTTTAACTTGTATCATTTTTTATTCAACGCTTAGCCTTATTTAAGCATTGTTCACCATGCTTGAAACAGGTTTCTAGAGTTGCACAGCAGCAAGGTATTATATGCCTAACGTCCATTATGCCTAATTACTTTATGCCTAACGTCCATTATGTCTAGCGTCCGTATGCCTAACGTCCGTATGCCTAACGTATTTATGCCTAATGGGGTACACTCCTTCCTGGCGCGTGCTCAGCACGGAAAACAAGATCGACAGAAAAAAAATTACTCGGATGCGTGAAATGAAATACAAGTTTATGCAAAAGAATGTTTACATCACAGTTAGAATTCAGAATTCAATTTTTGGTGTCCGGCCATATGATCAAATGCCGTTTGGCCGAATGCTGTTTGGCTGAATACTTTAAAAGGGATTACCAACTTTTGAAAACAATGCATTCGGCCTGTTAGGTTTCTGAAGTGTAGTTGCAACTTAAGAAAAAAAAATATTTATAATAATATTTCAACACTTAAGGAACAGAACATTAACATTATCATTGTAACACTTCAAACTCAAATATACCCAACCATCAGGATATAATTAAGTTCGTTAATTTTAACTTTTAAACCACTGTGCCGGGCCTCATAGCCTAGTCAGTAAAGGCACGGTATTACCAAGCCGGAGGCGGCGGGTTCGATTCCCGGTCCGGTCGAGGGAAACTTTCGTGTTGGAAATTTTTTTGAATTCCTTGGACATAGAGTATCATTGTGTTTGCCACACAATATACAAATTCATGCTTTGGTATTGGCATCGAAAGCTCTCAATTAATAACTGTGGAAGTGCATTTAGATAGAACACTAAGTTGAGAGCACGCAATAAGCTAATATGAACTAAGCAATAAGCTTGAAATGTGAATAAGAAGAAGAAGAAGAAGTGTCCGAAAACTGAAAGAAGTTTCTGTTAAAGAACACTTTTTTGTTATACATAAAAATGGTCAGATGATGAATTTTGATCGCATTTATCCATTGGTTTCTAGTGTATTCACTAATGAGATACTAACTGACGACCATATTAACCTGGCTGCCAGGAACGTTCCAGTAAATGATCAAACGCTGGGTGCAATTGATGATGATTTTTTAGGCCGTGACTCTGCTCAAGTCATCCTTCAATCCTGGACCTGATGGAGTTGCATATGTATTTTTGAAGAGACATATTACTAGCTTGTTAATTCCGCTTTTTCGCCTGTTCCGACTGTCTCTCGCCAGTGGTATATTTCCATCTTGCTGGAAATTTGCGCACATGTTTCCCGTGCACGCAAAATTGGTGGGGTGGGACACGACCGCATGGTTGACGTAGACTACGTTAAACTGTGTAGTGAAATTCTCGTGTATTTTTCAAAGATGTTGATTTAAAATACAGTAGAAGTAACCTATGATTTCGGTCCTATGTACATATTTTGGATTTCCTACTTAGTAAAAGTTGGTTAAATTCAGGACCACATTTGGTTCTTAAATTACAATCAGATATGAGTAAGACTTTCTTCATTGAAGCGTCCAACAATGACCGTCATGATGGCTTCCCTATCATTTCAAGATTTCTAGGGCACAAATGAAATTTTTATGTGGTAATGAGATTGACCCTCAGCGATTCAACTTCAAAATGCTAAAAATAAATGCACACAAAAAAGGAGTGCACAGATTTGCATCAATGTTATGCAACATTTCATAGTTGATCGAGATGATATCAATTAGCCATGAATCCCTTCAATAAGTTCTCGGTACGTATTTTATCTAACGGTTGAACAAATAAATACTAAAATACTAAGGTTGTGTTCCATTTGGAATATTTTCACTTAGATTTGACACTTTGAAAATAAATTAAGATGTTCGAAAATCCCTCTGTTGTAGATGGGTCGATTTTCTAGAAAGTGTCTGTCAAATTGATTCTTTGTCTGTCAGAAATAAGTCTGCTGGAATAGCAGGTTTATTTGAAAATTTTCCATCTGTCTCCTTTAAGTAAAAAATCACCAAATGTAACACAGCCTTAATGACTTGAGCACAGAATCGTTTCTTGTTGTGGTTGTCGTATTAGATGCTAGATAAAAACTTCTTTTATCGATATGTGTGCTGAAAATACCTGGGCCGAGTAGATTCAGGGAGAAATTCGACGAAGAGAATCTTATCAGTGTTAATTAGGATCTAATACAATGTTCAGCTTGAATTGTTTCGCTTAGCTGTAGCAATGTAAACAGAAAATCGGTTAAGAGAATCAAACATTACAAGTAGGCCCTTTTGAACGCTCAATGTCGAATTTCAGAACCTAGCACTGGAAAAAAAAAACTCGACGGTACCTCTGTTTATGCTAAGAGATAAGCATTGCAAGTCCCTCCTACTTGAATAATTATGCAATCGAACGGCTTGCTATGCCTCGGCCCCTTCCAACATTTAAATGAT